ACAGAGCGATCGACTGATTACGTCATTTGTTTGACACTCACGCTCCTGATATGAGGTTATGGCAGGCGTCTTGTTAGGCGCTTGGGAACAGCTGAAAGAGTGGTCTAGGTATTAAGATATACGACATGACGCCTGAAGGACGGAATAGTGGTACCAGAGGAGACGTCCGTTACTAGGCAATTGCTCCGTAAAATTTTTCCGCGGCAACGGCTAAGCAAGAAACAACCGAGGAATTTTTTGAAAAAAAAATCTGTTTGGTCTATGCAAAGTGGAACATTGTGAGTCGAAAGAGTCGATGAAAAGGGAACCCAGTGCCTGGGGGTATAACCGGGCCACCCTGTTCCTGGGGGAAATAAATACGGGAACCTAGCCCTGCAGGTTGGGGATTCTCGAATCTGAGACAGTAAAATATGGTCATGAGTTCCGCGGGACTCGGATCTGAGAATGACTGCGCTGGCGAGGGTCAGCAGCAATTGTAAGCAGCATGAGGCGCGCATTAAGCACAGCTTGAGCCAAAAGCCACTCGAATATCATTGTATTTAAAGTGAAGAACTATACACCCTGGAATGTGACAGACGTTTCGGAGGAATGTAGTGCTTCATTGTTAGGATCGAAGAGTAAGCCTAGCTAGAAACCAGCATGAACCAGAGCTCCCCTTACTACCTGCAGACTTCTTGAGTGCTTTATTCTACAATTCTGAAGATGGAGGCTACACATTCACCCGAAACATCGTTGACTTTCAAGACAGTGAGTGGCGTTGTGTCCCAGAATACAGAACTCTACAATATAGACGCAATCAGGAACGATGAGTATGAAAACATTTGTGATCTCTTCACACAAGCTGGTTATGAGAACAATAGTCCTAACTAACGAGAAAACGGGAGACAACAGAAAACACAAGGAACAAAACGGAACAGGAAAGAGAGAAGGAAAGTGGTACATGAAGAAAGGGCCACTTTACCAATGGGAAACATAATCAGCTGTACAGGAAACAAAGGAAAGGGAAAATCAGGGCCGCGCCATAGCTCAAGCGGTTAGTGGCTGGCTTCCCACCGCGGCGGCCCGGGTTCGATCCCGGGTATGGTCAAGTGGGATTTGTGGTGGACAAAGTGGCGTAGGGGCAGGTTTTATCCGAGTACTTCGGTTTCCCCTGCCAATCTTCATTCCACCAATTGCTCCACAATCACCCTTACCTATCATCTGGGGCTGGTACAATAGGCCAGAAGTGGCCGCAGTACAAGGGACTTAGTCCCACCCCACTAGCAATAAAAAAATCGAAGGCATGACCTGCCTTCGATAGTTCGAACGCTGGGATCGTGGGTTCGCATCTCACTCATGGCATGGATGTCTGTTTGCATTTATTCTGTGTTAGTATTGTTCTGTGCATAGGCAGCGGCCTTGCGACGGGCTGATCACTCGTCCAAAGGGTCCCACCGGCTGTGTATAGGATTAAGAAACTGAGAAATCGGCCAAGACCCAGCAAAAGGATTGCAGAGCCACAGATAAAAACAAACTCCGTGGCCTGTAGTCCGCAAGAGAACTATACCAACCGAGCTACCGCCGCTTGTCGACGGAGTTAGTGCCAACTTTTGCCAATAGAGGGTGTCACGTGGTCAGTGCAACGGATCCCCACTGCATTAATCTCGGTTTTCTAGACCGGAGCCGCTACTAGAGCCACAGATAGATACTTCTAAATGTGTTGGTCTGTACGGAGTCAGTATTTTCATTACGAGTTGCAGTACTCACGTTATCCCCCGCGGTACGTCTGTGTTTGGTCACCCTTCTTCCGGCTGAATTGTGTATTCAGTATGGAAATAATTAACCGGAGCAGCGTTTATAAAAGGGAGTTTGCTGTGACCGCATTCAGCTTCAAATTGAGCCTTAATGTGGCTATTCCATAATGTATCGAGGGTGTGAATAAAACATTGACATGCGCCGTGTATTCAGGCTATGCATTTGTTTGCTTGCAGGACGCTTGTGGTCGAACGGACTGGCAGAAACTGATGGTGCCTGAGCGGATTCGCTACGTCCCAGCCTGCACTCGGGAGGTTCCCGGTTCGCATCTCAAACTGGGCACCGCCTGTCCTGACTGAGGTTTCCCGTAGTTTTCCAAAGTCCTGCCAGGAAATTCGGAATAGTGCCTCAATTGTGTTGTACCCGCCTTTTTCCACACATCACTTTTAAATAATTATTCACAGTCATCCAATCATTTGACTTCATGTTGGGTTCTTTCTTTCGTTCTTTGTGTTCTTCACACATTTCCATGCTGAAGTATATATTACGACGAAATTTGGCAAGTTAGTACAGGACGTCTCTGGAGAACATTTTAAACAGTTGATATCGAATTTCTAATAATATAAGTACCCCCACCAATTGTAATAAACCCAAGGAAAAATCAATTTTTTTTTGTTCGACAATTATTCGGCCTTGCATATTGAAGTTTTTATGTTTAACACAACTGAGGTTAAAGAAAGTCTTACTTATTTTATATAGCTATATCTGTACATGTTAAAATTTCTTGAAATATTCAATTTTCAATTTAAAAAATAAACGGCAATTTTTTTATTCGAATTTTCAATTAAATCCTCAACATTATATTTTCAATACGATAACCCTTCCTCACTATGTACGTCCATTTCTTTATGCTGCGGCCCATAATGAATGAATCCGGTTACTTGCATGACTCAGGATCAGATTTGGTGAGCACGCCTGAGAATTGCAGTCCTGTGCGTCCAGCTTCCAAGAGCATGGAAGAGAAATACATTCATTTCTTAAAGTGCTCGAATGGCCGAGTGTTTATTCCTTCTGCCGCAACATCTAAATTTTTCAGAGAGAACACACCTCAGCTGGGCGCCATTTGTTTTCAGGTACGAAAGGGGGGGGGATGAAGAAATTGTGTGCTCGAAGACTGATCGTCCTCATTTATCGATGTACTCAAGAGCAATCGCGTAGTGAAATGAGTCGAACGCAAGCGCTACATCTAAACACTTTCATCGCTTATAACCGGTAACTTAACACATCAATTTATCACCATCACCACAATATTAATCACCACACCATTATGATCTATCATTTCCTGATGACGCTATATCACGCTGAGATATTAATTTTCGGTGTCATATTTACAGCCACTGACAAATATCATTCAACATAATGGCCCAAATACTGTACAAGGAACAGCTCTTTATAGGATCTGAATTTCTGACACCTGTGGTTATGAAGAGTTCTGTCTTCTGGGATACAACGCAGTGTAGTACGTTGAAAATCAATCGACATTTCGGAGGAACATACCGCTTCAATATTCGGTTTTGTAATTTGTGAGGCTTGAGGTTCACATGGCAGTGAATATGACAGTTGTATTTTCCGGAATGTAACGCCGTTCAGCTCGTAGATAAGTATCGCCATTTCGATCTTCACCGTAACCATCATTTTTATAATCTATGCTGTGCTTAATTAAACACCATATCACGAAGACGAATGGATTACTAGAGGTATAACTCCACGTATTCATAACCTCCTCACTATATGGAGTAAGTAATTCATAAACCAACCGCTTTGCCCGGTACCCACTCGATAGGAATCTGGGCGGGCCCAGAGCTAATCTGAGTGCTGTGCAGAGGGAAACTCACCTACCCCTGCCAGAAATCTAAAACGATCTATCGACTGTCCAGCGCGCAGCCCGTGCATGTAACGGCGGAACTATTCCTACGCTTCGCTTATATTCACTTAGGTTTTGAAATATGGTTGATCTGGAACTGACTTCAACCTCTATTTAAATTTTCATAACCACTTCAAGCTATGTCTGACGACTTCAAAGTGTACTCGTAGAATAAGACACGCCCTTCTGCACATGTCTACATTTTAGAAACGCATTTATTTAACTGAAGTAGGACACGCGGTAGCGCAGTTGGTTGCGGCTCCATGCTACAACCCGATGAGATTCTTGGATTTTTCAATTTACCTAGTCCTTCTAGCTGCACTATGGCCCTGGGGTCGACTCAACCTCTAACGGAAATGTGTACCAGAGATCTTCCTGAGGGTAACGGGCAGCCGGCGCCTAAGGCTGATAACCTTACCGCCATTTTTGAGTCAACTGTCTAGAAAACGTGGGAGCCTCGACGACTCACAACCCTATGGGCCTCCGTGGCCTGTTACAAGGATAGCTTTACATTTTTTTTTACCTATATTTATCAGCACATATACAAGAAAATGACGCAAGGGATGACGTAAGGTTTTTGTAGCCTATTACTACTGAAACCAATCAAATAATATGCTGTCGTCATAAAGGCCATTTTCTCTGTTGTGGCCTGAAGGCCGACTCCCGGTAATATGTTAAAAGAGTATTTAACTTTTTTGTATTTTAGGGGAAAATGTTGGTTAGAATAGAATCAGTTGGGAAATACTTGTAAGACATACGAAAGAGGATGTAAGAAGGGTCAAGAAACTTCACAGAATTTCTGCGTATAGAGTTAGACGGCCGTTAGCCTTTGACGTGTCGATGTCTTGTCAGCAGAATGACGTTGAATGAATACCGAACTGCTAACTCTACGGAATCTACACTTGAGTGAAGGGAGGGACGTTTGCAGGTAAAAGTGTTAGCCAAATGGTCTAGCAGACAAGGGGCGTGTCCACCCCCTTAAGGATCCCAGCCAACTAGAGCTAGCCACTTGGGACTAGACATCATTGGAGGCGGACTTACACCCCCCGGGAAAGTAATGAGTTAGCATGAATAAAGTTATATAACCAGGAGAGCAAATTATTATGGGGATTATTCAAACAGTAATTTTGGCCCGTTTGCGGCCGAAGGCCATGCCAGAAGGGGCACCGACTAGACACCAGGCAACGCCATCCGTCTGCAGACTCAACCCAAAGTAAGTGGAACTATTCTTATCGCCATGCTTAATATTTGTGATATTATTAAAGTGTAACTCCTCCAATGGGAATTGAGTTAGGAACAATACAACAAGTGTACAGGGCGTAAGAGTAGACAGGAAGACAAAATGGAAGAAAGACGGCATGATGCTGGTATTACTAGCAGACCAGTACCAACAGAGACACCAACAATTGCCGTGCGGCTTCCCCCGTTCTGGGCCGACAGACCAGCAGTTTGGTTGGCTCAAGCCGAAGCACAGTTCACTCTGGCCGGTATCAGTAGCGAGCAGACGAAGTTCTGCTATATGATCTCGCAGCTGGACCAACGTTACGCATCGGAAGTAGAGGACATCATCACCTTTCCAACCGAACGAGGCCCCTACACCCTACTGAGGACCGAGCTTGTGAGGCGGCAATCCCCATCGCCAGAGCAGCGCATCCGGCAAATCCTCACGGTCGAGGAAATTGACGATAGTAAGCCGTCCCAGTTCCTGAATTACCTCAAAAGTCTCGCACCAGAGGTGTCTGATAACGTCATCCGAAGCGTCTGGACCAGCCGGCTAGCCCGCAACGTGCAGAGCTTCCTCGCCGGCCAGAACGAGAGCAACTTCGAGGCCGCAGCCCTCTGTGCAGACCGTATCTCCGAGGTCGAAGTCCGGCCAGCGCTCGCTAGCGTTAATGAACCCACGGACATCGGCGCACTTCGGTAGGAGATCGCTGAACTCTCCCGCCAAGTGGCTGCACTCAGGACCGAACAGGACCGCCTCCACCCCCGCTTCAGGGAGTCCGACAACAAACCGAGAGAGGCTCCAGTCCCAAGGGTTCCCGGCGGTCCGGCAGCAGATCCCCCTCCCGGGGCGACGCCACATCCAGTATCTGCTGGTACCACCGCCGCTTCGGCGCTCGGGCACTGTAATGCCGCAGAGCAGGGGGGCGTGGAGGTATACCTCCTCGCCTCCACTTGTAATGTCGCGACGCTGGTACCACTTGTAACGTCGTGACGACGGGGGTGTGCAGGTACCCCTCCTTGCCACCCCAGCTTATGCTGTAAGGAGTTAACACAATCATCCTAGCTCACCCTTAGC